AGACTTTTTTTTGGATAAATTAGCTGACATCTTTAAAAATTTATTAACTGAGGTTATGAATTTTCAACCCTTGATAAGCGTCTTATAGACCTAAAATATTGATCTGATGACGATGTAGCAGACCTATTTACCAAAAATTGAGGATTCGAGACTTTATACGACAAACTTTTTAAAGATGTCAACTTGTGTCTTTGATAAAGACCTTAACCATTGATAGGAAGGTCTTAAGGTCAAATCTTGTCTTCACAGGAATACGTAGGGTGATGCACAGAGTTACGGAGAGTCAAAATCTTGAATTGGATTTGACATGGGAACATAAGCTGATGTTTAAGTGTGGTGTCAGAGGAGCTCAATCAACTACGGTTCATGGTCTACCATGTAAAATGCAACCAACCTTGAGAGAAAAGGGAAGTCCAAGGATGAAATGAGAGATCAAAAATCAGAATATTAAGATGGACCAAAAGGATCCCCAAAATATTAACTCGTGCTATCCATCTTGAAAATTGATTAGATAACTTCAGAAATGTACTTAGATACATTAGAGACTAGGCAAAAAGGACCAATGAAGTTGCTAGAAAATGTGCAGTAAAAATTTTATGGTGCAACACTAAGTAGCATTATACAAGGGCCACTAAAAAGACTTCTCTGTATCGTTCCAATTTTATCGAATGTCTCCAAAGAGACACCACTAAAAAACCTTGAATAGCAAACAATGAAATAGACATGATAACTCTTTTATGATGGTGGATGTAGCATTATCGAGAAGTCTGCATGTAGCTGACCCAGTGCTTCATCCACAAGCTCTCGGATATGGTATCAGCCATTAGGAGGAATGCAATTTGTCTTAGCAAATTTGTGTGTGTTTTGATGGCCACATAGTATGGATGAACTATGGCCCAAAGCTATAATCACCTTCGGATCCCTCTGAAGTCAAATATACTCATCCAAATGACAATTCTTGGAATACCAGCCTTTTTGTTATGTCTGTGCAGTGTGCTTGATTTCTTTGAATTGACTTGTTCGTCAATATCAGAAATCAATGCAGCATGAACTTAATTGTCTGAGTTTAGACCCGAGGCTTTCTGCCCAAGTGAGCTGCCATGTTTCCATATGTTCTCCATGTCCATTTTTCTTTTGCTCTACCACCTCTTCCCAGGTACCGTTGAATACATGTTCTCTGTTGAAAACATTTGCTGGTTTGAGCTAGTGGCTAATTACCCTCCTTTCAACCTAAAGGTGTATGCCTAGTTCATGAACTGCTACAGGGTCTGTTGGGTCCGGAGACCTCTGAAAAGAGAGACATTAGTTCTTATCAGATTTGGAGTCCAGATGAGGTGGTATTTCCTATAAACATATAAAATATCAGGATATGGGAATACTGTTAGATTTAAGTAACATCTCTCTTTTCTCTCAAATTTTCTCTTGTTTTACCGTACCTAATCATTCAAAGTCTCTCTGAGTCTCAAGGACCTATCTTCTACTTATACTGGCTTCCTGGATCACTTCACTACAGAGTATGTTGCAGCTCATGGTCATCCGGATTTCTGCTTTTGTTGAAACTACATGATAGAATGAAACGATCGCCATTACATGTAGCTGTAGGTGGAACATTTCAACTTGACATCAGCTAGACTACCATGGGGGATAAAAGTGTTTGAAGAGGCGTACTTGGACTTGACTTCAGGCAGATTACTAATTGCCAAGTGAAAGCACCAGTGTTGCTGTGCCATCGAAATGATAAGATAGGATAACAACTTCTTGTTTCTGGACTCCAGAGAGAAAGGCAACTTTGAATTTGCATATTTTACCTAAATCACACATTACAAGTAATTGGTTAGTATTATATAAGATTCCCGTGATACAGTCCCTTTTTGTTGGAGGTAAGAGTTTCTGTTATAATATTTTTTTAACCAAGTAATGAATCTATATTCATTCTTTTTAACATTTTACTTGAACTCTGAGGTATTTTAGATGTGGTTCTAAGGATTTGATGAGACCTGTATATTCTAGTTTTGGAGTTTTGGATTTTTGTATTGAAGATAGGTAGGGTATCGGTAAAAATACAGTAGCTATCAGTATAAGAAAAAGGGTAGTATAAAACCTGTTTTCATGTGTAGAAAACTAATGCATATTATGATCTGAAATATAGAGATAAATACGTTACCATGAAAAAATAGGCAGATAGATGCTACATTGGAAATCTTGCTATCTCTGTTCATTGGGGGTGACCGGAAACGTCCGCACTCGCAACTGATAGCTGTCATCAGAACATGACTCGTCACTGTTTCCGTACTTTCATCCGTTGCATGATGAGAATAGCAATTATTGTGAACATTTTTGGATTCATCGGAACGGAAATGACAGGTTGGTTTGTTCTGAATCCTAGATTAACTGTTGTTTAACAGTTAATTGGACCGTGATGATCACTGTTTTCGTCTATTCCTCATCCGAGATCTTTATAGCAACCGTCCGTTGTCACCGTCTTTCCAAGCGGGATGTAGTGGGGCCGTTCCATAATGGTTCATCGCACCCCGTCGATGATGCCGAAGCACCATCGACACCAAACATACCTATCACTAATGTTCTGGTAGCTTCTCAATCATATTTCGTTCTGTTGGTTAAAGATAGTTCGCATCGTGCCCGTGCACCGAGAGGTCGAGTGTCACGTGATTTCAGATCATCGTGATTAGGGAACAATTATTGTTGATTCCTAATAAACTGAACTGTGATCGATCGGACGGGGGGAACAGGAAGGACACGGACACCCTCTTGCGACTGCGACGTTGTTGCGTGCAGCGCCGCTCATGTGCTTGCGGTCCTGAGGAGGACGGAGGAGCCTCTGCGGAGCGAGCGCACGTATCGCTGGTGGGCTCCTCTGTCTCCCAGGCGTCAACGTCTCGACGCCAATAGAAACTGACGAACCCGTCGCTGTCACTGTTACCCGGCCTCTCTTTCTCTCTCTCTCTCTCTCGGACTTTGCTACGGGTGCAAGAGACCGTCTCCTAGGGGTACCAAAGAACATGATTAGAGGATTACAAGTGAGAAGGAGGAGACCAGGAGCGAGAGGGGCAAGGACGATGAGGTGTCGGGTGGGTTGGCGTTTCCTCGAGCCCATTTCATTTGCCGAGGCCACGTGAAGCAACGCCGCGAAGCGTTTCTCCTGCCCAATCCCAACCTACGGCGGGCAGATAAGAGTGTCTCGTTGGATTTATTGCATTGGATTTATTATTATTATTATTATTATTATTATTATTATTATTATTATTATTATTAATTATTATTATTTCCCTCAGTTTTTCCTAACTTAGCAGATTAGTTATAGGAGTTACGTGAGGCTTTTAGTGCGCATATGTATGGCTGACCATATATGAGACCATATACATACATTAGAGAATCTTTTAGTGTAGCCTTGCCAAGTGCCAAATTCCACCGGCTAAACCAGATCAAGAATAAGACTACAATTAGATAGCTTTATGCCCCATTAATTAAGGAAATAGGTCTTCACATACCAGGTTAATGTAGTGTTTACATTCTTAGCATGTTAGAACCTGAACCAGAACAGTCAGAAAATTAATTTTTTCTGATCATTTTAATCCACTGTGGAAGTTGATATGTGCTTATGATGGATACAAGTTTGGGAGGAGGGATCCTGCTATATTATTTCTTAACGTGGCTTGCGAATCTACAGCTCTTGTCCCCCTTGGCATGACGCTATTGGTGGCTTGTCAATTAATAAACCAATGGGCCCTTTCGAACGATGTCGATAGATATTTCATAAACGCTATCGGTGGCGTATCTGTCTCTTTCGGCAACAGCAACTTGTGCTGTACCCGGATCTCCACAGTATCGAGAAGCCTAATTCCATCCGTCAGCTGGTTTTCTGGAATCGAATTGTAAACATGTTTAATGTCGGGTTGTGGTGTGTGATGGGCGCAAGTTGAACTTTGGCGTCTTCTCCCCTCCCCACAATATCTCTAATTGGTCCATGGCGTCCTTTGGCTCATCAGATTTTTTTAATCTCGTCGTTGATTTCCACAACGAGGGTTTCACTTTTGTCCAGCCAAATGTGGACGGAAATACGTAATGGAAGTGCACCAGTTGGCCATTTTCTGGAACACGCAGTCTCTTTTTGCAGCCTAATATTTTTTTGACTGCGCTTGGGTAGACTGAAGAAGCTTCACGCTTTCACAAGCATGGCAATGCTTTGTCCGAAGCAGAATTGCCACGTGAACATGCATTTGGTTTATATGCGCAACTAGTAGTGCTCCAATTTTTAATATTTTTTAATATTTAATTATTTAGATATTTATTTATAAAAAAAGATAATGTTTTTAATATATTTATTTAGAAAAAGAGTCCTTTTTTCCAATTATTAAAAAAAATTCTTCAACATGTTCCGTTCCGCTCAGTAATACAGTGCGGAAGGATGGGTTTGTCTCAAACAGGACCGCATGGGTGCCACGTGAAAAGAAGGTGACCCGAGCATTTGATTTATATAAACAATTTATACAGTTTGTGAAAATAATAATAATAATAATAATAAATGAGATATTTATTTGTAAAAACTTAAATTATAATATTTTATTTATAATAAATATATTTAATTCCATATTAATTAAGGAGTAGAGATCTTAAGATTTCGTGTTTTTCTGGGAAAAAAAATGGATATTTTTTTTACAAATGATGACTTATTAATAATAAATATAATGAGCAAAAGGGTGTAGCAATTTTATTTCCTAATCTTATTTCCGAAAGTTAGACATGATTGATTAAAATTTTAAAAAAGTTTTTAGAGATATTTCCTTTAGGATGTGTTATGGTCAATACGGCGGTGTAAAAGAATGTATATTATGTATTTTCTTCCTTAAAATAAACAATTAACAAGGAGAGGATGCGGATCACGTGACGCGCAGTAGCTTATTGAAGCTTACATAACCCCGAGTCTCGTCCACCGCCTCGACCACTCGCACAATCCTTCATATGCTTCCATTTTGGGGGGGGGTTTTTTAAGGCTGCTGATTTATTATAAATAGAAGAAGAATAATTCGGGGCGGCAGTCGATAAAAAGGCGGGTGTGACAAGGTCAGGGGGCGACACAGTGGCCGTACTCCGCTGTGACGGTGCAGGATACTCCCATTCAACTTGCATTCCCACCCTTGTCATCTCTCGTCAGTGGCGTCGGTGTCTCCTCTCTTTCCTGCCACACCCTCCTTCTCCTAGATCCCAAACACTCGGAAGACCACACCAAGTTGTTCTCTCCTTCTAAACCTTGGAGTTAGATCGAGTGCTCTCGAGGGAGAGGAGGGAGATTTGGTCCTGAGGAGGAGGGCTTGGGCGTAGATGGAAGTTCAGGTGACCGGAGCGTGCTCGCCGTTGTCACACCTGTCGCCCACCAACTCTCTGACCGCCTTCCAGGTCGCCTTCGGCTTGCCTTTCGGCTCCAGCAAGCGGAAGGGCGCGGCCGCCCGTGGCTGCGACTGCGTCCTCACTCCGCCCGTCCTGGGCGCCCCCTCGCCCAGGCTGTCGAGGGCCAGGTCGCTGGAGATTCTCTGGGGGAGAGGAAGACGAGCCCAGGAGCAAGCCCTGCGACGCGCCTTCAGCGTCGATCGTTTCGCAAGTGATGGTGACGACGATGAGGTTGAGGAGGAGGAGTTTGTGCAGAGGTTTGAGGAACTGCCCCTCGAGCTCCGACAGCATCAGCGAGATGGCAACGAGGACTCGGTGGTGGCTTGTTCCGAGTCGTGGTCGAGTCAGGAAGGCGTTGCTTTGCCCACCTCTGCGTGCTTTAGCTCTGATACGAGCCCCGTGACTTTTCCTCTGCCCTTATCGAGGAAGCAACAGCCGTCGACGGAGCGTCCGTGGCTGCCCTTCCGGCCGGAGCCGCCGGACTGGTCCGATCAGATCGTGCCGGCGAGTGTGGAGATGAACGCGAACAGCGTGGAGCTACCGCTGTCGTTGCGGATCATAAAGCGGAAGAAGCAGTGCGAGGACAGGTGGTTCCGGGAGGCGGGCGGGACGGCCTGCTGCTCCGTGAAGCGGGCCTTCTCGTCCATGGTGTTCATGATCCGCGAGCTCCAGAGCTACACGCTCCAGATGCGGGAGGTGCTCTTCCGCGAGGACCTCCAGGGGATCCTGGCGCGGGTGCAGCGTGAGATGAACTCCTCCTTCGTCTGGCTCTTCCAGCAGATCTTCTCGTGCACCCCGACGCTCATGCTCTCCGTAATGCTCCTCCTTGCCAACTTCACTGTCTACTCCATGGACAACCTCGACGGCGCCGCCGCCACGGCCACGCCCAAACCACCGACCCAACAGTCGCTGTTCGAGACGGTCATGGTGGAGGACCATCGTCAGAGTCATCACGAACGCTACCTCGTCGTCAAAACAATATCTTCCATCCTCGGAGGGAGCGGCGTGGGCGGCGGAGGGAAGACGAGGCCAGTGGCGGGGGCCACGGGCGACGGGCGATCGGATGACAAATCCTCCTCGGACCAGACGATCCTTCCCGACAGTGTCTCGAAGGCTCCCGGGGCGCTGAACGCGGAGGAGGGGGGAGAAAGAGGCAAGGGAGAGGGCGCGTCGGCAACGGCGCCGTCGAGGGCGGAGGAAGAGGTGTCGAGGGCTTGGAAAGGGATACTTGAGGAAGTATCGAGGATGCAAGCGAGCACGAGGGACGCAGCGCTCATGGACCCGGCGACGCTGCGGCTGTTCGTCTCGCCCGTGGCGGTCGAGCTGGAGCACGACGACTACTCGGAGTACCTGCGGACGGAGTTCATGTACCAGCAGGCCCTCTCGCAGGACCCGGATAACGCGCTTCTGCTCGCCAACTTTGCTCAGTTCCTCTATCTCGTCCGCCACGATCACGACAGGTATTTACCCCACGTCTTGTTCCCCCGCAAGATGTTTGTAGAATTGCATCCAAGAGAAGCCAAGCATTCCGTCATGAATTTTTTTAGTTCGTTTTACTCGAACAGTAGTGAGCAGCAGCATCGGATGATTCCATTTGTTTTCCCTATAGACAAAGCCCTCTTTTACTCTCCTCTCATCTTTCTTTTACTGCACGATATTTCTCCTTAGCCTGTGAGAAATTGGCTTGCTTGGCATTATTATAGCTGTTTCGGGCGTGTGACAGGGCGGAGTACTACTTCAAGAGGGCGGCGAAGTCGGTGCCGGCGGACGCGGAGGCGTTGAGTCGGTACGCGACTTTCTTGTGGCTGTCGAGGAAGGACCTTGAGGCGGCGGAGGAGACCTACCTGGAAGCCATCGACGCCGATCCTGGCAACACCTTCCACGCCGCCAACTACGCCCATTTCCTGTGGAACACGGGCGGCGAGGACACCTGCTATCCCCTGGACGACGGCAACGGCGACGACGACGCGTTCTAGCACCACAAACTCAGCAGTAACAATGGCGACCACAACAACAGCACAATGTCACGACCACAGCGAAAAGTAGAGGACCAGAAAGCAAAACACGCCAAGGAAAAGAAGTGGGTTGACGATTTCAAGGCCGTCGGGCGGGGAAGAAGAAGAAGAAGGAACTCTTCTCTCGACAGTCGCCTCTGTCTGTCATCATGATGCGAAGTGACATAATTTGGCAAGTAGCGAGTGGGGAATCGCGTGCATCCAAAACTAGCATTGCCTCTTCGAGGAAGCTGATGCGAAGAACGAAGAGCAAGTTGCACGCTGGTGCTGCAGAATACAAGAGAAGCCCATGTTCTCAATCAGGTGGCCTCCCTCCATTGTCGATCTACTACTGCACCACCATCGCTTTTCGTGACGCTCAGCTCACCTCTCGACGCAGTCGATGCGCTCTCGATGTGCTCTCATAGCCACACGTTGTTCGCTCAGACCCTTATTATTGGCCAACAAATAATGCTATATATATATATATATATATATATATATATATATATATATATATAATAATAATAATAATAATAATAATAATAATAATAAAAGAAGCTAAAATATTAATATTCATTATATATCTATTTTAGAAGAGTGTAGTCTAGTTTCACATTAGAAATGGATAAAGAGTTGCATCTTTATAATTGATGTATTATTGTTAATTTGAGTTTAAATATTTTTTAAGATAGTAGTTCAGATTCAATAAAATTAAACTCGAATTTTATATAAATGTTGTTCGGATGATATTAATATTATTTAATCCGGGCCTGTGTAACTCTGTTTTCATGGGAGGCAGCAAATTTCTTCGTGCCACATTGGTATCCTCCACAAGAATTTGGAGTTTTGCGTGGTAGAGAAGACTCTTATTGATCGTATGAGGAGAAAACGGACTTCCAAGTCTCGATCATCACGAAAGGTTGGATCAGCAAAGGAGAGCTACTTCAACGAGCAATCAGCATTTGGACTAACAAGACAACTCCCAAGTACGAGTGCTGATCCGTCATCGTCCACCTGCTGTTACATGAACTGTGGCTTCCTTTCATGACGAACCACAGGGAAGACTATAAATTCTGCAAACGACACAGGTGATGGAGATTTGAACCATCAAAGTCACTCGAGAACAAAGAAGGAAACAGGAAAGAATTAGACCGCAAGCGAGTTCTGTCAATTCAAGCCACACATAGTAGCTACGTCTAAACAGGAAAGATGCGTCACCTGTACTGCGACCATGAGCAGTAACTCCCTGCACTTTCATGAATTTTGGTTCTCAAACTTTCGGAAACTTACTATTTACTATCGTTGTTTTACTATTGACAACCTCTTAAAATCATAATAAAATATTATTTTATTATTTATATCTCTAGTATTACCGATTTATTATTATTATTTCTTTATTTCATTCTCGCCATCTATGATGCCACTTGTACCTCACTCATCGCTCGCACAACTCCACCCTCCGAGAGGGAGAAAAAGACTATTGTAGATTGGGCTTAAACAAAACTATCATTTTAATATTTTTTTTTAATAAATATTGAATTATTGATATGATTTTTATTTTATTTTTGTTGAATCTCGTATTTTGATGATGAAACTACTTGATATATGTTTATGATTTAATCTAAGTTTTGAGTGACTCAGGATGCTTCGATCAGGATGAGACAATTAAAGCAGGAAAATCATGTTGTGCCGGAGGAACATGTCAGAAGATTGGACGTCGGGCCGGTGGATCGGTCGACGTATCGACAGAAGGCTTCAGGCCGTGGACTCGAGCATCGGGCCAAGAAGAGCGGGTATTGTGCCAAGAAGAGCGGGTATTGTGCCAAGGATATCGGAGTTACGGAGTCAACTGACCGATTGGGCAATAGGCTACAGGAGAGGACGATGCGCCGAAGAATCGGACGAAGCGTCGAGGGACCAATGACATGCCGGACAACTTGGTTAATTGCTTAGGATTAATTGTCTCGATCGAAGTTTTATTTTAAGTGTGCAGGATTAACTATGATGAAAGTAAGATATGCAGCAGGAGTTGCGCCGGAGTCAAAACAATGATCACGTTGGGAGTTCGAGAGTTCGACGGAAGTTCGGACAGTCGTCGGAGGTTCTGTGGGAACAAATCCGAGAAGTCCATGAGCTTGCCAAAGAAGCTCGTCGGACCTCGCCAAGTGGATCGTTGCAAGTCCAGGAGTTTGCCGGAAGTCCGCA